GGAGTAGGTTAGATAAATGTCTGTCAGGGATGGTCTAGACAGTATTTGGTCCTGCCATGCGGGCAGGGGACTGGACTCGATGACCTCTCGAGGTCCCTTCCAGTCCTAGAATCTATGAATCTGTTAAGATGTTGCACACGCTAAAATAAAAAGCTCAGTCTATGCACCAGTCTTTGGCACCCTCTGCATTCCTCCTTCCTCAGTCTAGGAAAGGCAGTTCTCTGCTATTTCAGTGGACCACCGCATATGCACATCAAAACCTCAAGTTTAATAAAGGGAAGCTGGAAAACTGTGTGTGACTACAGCGAGTGAAAGCTGCCCAACCTCTCCTTAGATTATTGTGTTCTGCCTATGATCTTCCTCTCCATGAAAATTTCCTCTGACATATGGTTTGAGGAAGTAGTGCGCATTTGCGGGGAGTGGGTTAGTATAACCGCATTCTGAGGGTGGTAAGAGAAGAGGCAAGAGCCCAGAAGATCAGGCAGGTGCATGGTCCGCTAGCTAGCGCTTGCTTTTTACAGTAAACCTTCCTGTTAAAAAGATCTTTTCTGACTTATCAGAATTATACCAATAAAGTAGATACAGACAAACATTTTGGAAGTATTCCATCTATTGACCGGGGAGTTATTGATATAAAGGGAAGATGGGTTGAAACAAAAACTTTTAAGTTTCCAGTAGAGTGTGCAAGACCTCATATGAGCAGAACCAAGATACTTTCAAGACCTTTGTGGTGTGTAAGTTTATGTATAACTTGGGGAGTGTGTTAAGGGGCAGCATTTAGCTGGGTTGTAGGGAGAAGACACTTTCAAGTTAAGGCCACTCACAAAGAACCATATGCCAAATGTGTTGGAGAGCAGAGTCGGCTTGCCCATCAACTTGTGAAAAAGCAACTTCCAAAAACACATTTCTGGAATGTAACTTAGACTAATAAAATACAATGAAAGTTATACTCTCATTCTCCCCAATCTTTCTTGAACTAGTTAAAAACAAAAATTGGAGCAGCGGGATGGGTGTCTATGGAGCAGTGCCTATCAGCTTCAGGATTTGGAGTATTACCCACTAACTGCCAATCTCAGATTGATAAGCAAGCAGCACACTACATCAGTGTCTGGGAGTGTGCGTACAAAAAGTCACTGGAGAGAAACAAGTGTGATTAATGTTGTACACAACTACACAATGCAGTGTTGACTGTGTTACTTTTCTTTGTATTGCAGGGCTATCTCAGGGAACTTTCCTTGTTACTCTGCTGGTTTGGTAGCTGCTTTGTTAGGGAGTCCAGCTTAGGGCAAAAGGTTACATTACACTGTCTCTAGCTCTTAATCCTGGTATTTTTAAGATCTTGAGAGGATTGTAAAGTGTTTTTCAGTCTAAGATTTGAGATGTGCTAAACCTATCTGTACATGGGCTTAATATTCAAATGTGAATTCACACTATCTTAATGTATTAATCATGCCTTCTAAACCATGTCAAACTCATCCACTTAATTTCCCAAATGTGTATATGTAGAAGCTAGTTCATAAGTTTCGAGAAGTTGCCTTTTCTTGAATTTAGCTAATACCCTTCAACCTCCTCTCCCACCCTTCAAAAGTTGTTTATTTCCATACACTTAAGCACTGATTGAACAATCACACCTTCCCTACTCTGTTCTGATCCACTGCATTTTCCACACTAATGGATCTTTCTCTCTCCCTCCTTAATAGAGCAATGCACAAACACTACTGGAGCTCTGAACCCAGAGAAAAGAGCCCCTAATATTGAAAGAGTAGGTGTAGTAAACTGAAACTGGAGAACATGTAACATTGACTGCAAACCATCAGTCATCCAACTATGGTGAAATGCAGGTGCAAGGGATTTAGCATCTCTGATATAACTGTTCTGAAACACTAATGCTGCTTAACCTGAGGATTAGATAAACCAATGGTTGATATGGAGCCAGGAGCTGCAGGTGCTCAGCACTTTGAGGGGGGGGAAAAAACAAGCCAATCTTATTTGTGGAGGAGGCCTTTTTTTTTTTTAGATACAAAAGCTCTGACCTCTGGAGGAAGAAATGACTACTATGGGACTTTCAGAAAAAGTACTCTGTTGGTCTAATTCTCTTCTTGGTGGAAGTTTCTTGCCAAGTCCCACCCATAGTCTCAGTACTACAAGAGACTGTTCTATACAGTAGAACCTCAGAGTTACAAACTGACTGGTCAACCACACACCTCATTTGGAACCAGAAGTATGTAATCAGGCAGCAAGAGACCCCCTCCTCCCCTCCCCGCAAAAAGCAAATACAGTACAGTACTGTGTTGAACTATTTTTTAAGGAAAAGTTTAAAAAAATGTTTTTGACAAGGTAAGGAAACTGTTTCTGTGCTTGTTTCATTTAAATTAAGGTGGTTAAAGCAGAATTTTTTTCTGCATAATAGAAAGTTTCAAAGCTATATTAAGCCAACTTTTGAAAGAACAAGCATAACGTTTTGTTCAGTGTTACGAACAACATCCATTCCTGAGGTGCTCATAACTCTGAGGTTCTACTGTATTCCTGACACTCCTTGCACGTACTCCATTAAATGTGCCTGAGCTATAGATAGGCATTCTATATTGCAGTAATACAAACTCCACCCTGACTAAAAAAAACAACCAGCGATCTCTGAGATGTTCTGACCATTGTCCCTTCCACTATAAAGATGGCCCATCAAAAGCATTTTTTCTTAGAACTGCCTCGATTATATTCATCCTGCAAATGAAAAATGAAACCTTTTAGTGTCATGGATCTGCTTATGCTTTCTTTGGTCTCCATTTTGTTTCTCACTAGAAACTCACGTGAGATACTTCTTGCTATATGTTTAATAAAAAACAATTTTAAACTGGTATACTAGTGTCATGGGTTATGTTGCTGAAAAGATGCCTGTTACACCAATAGTGTAAAAATACCTACTGTCAAAATATAACGTACCCTTAATGCTGGGCTTGCACGGAGGAGGAACTTTAGTCTGAATGTTGAACACTTTACTGTTGACACTTAAAATCCTGCTGCTCAGTCAGTTATCAAGATATAACAAAATTCTCACTTGTTGGACACAGCAAAATGTGTTAGAACTTTAAAAATCTTGCTGTTTTTGATTAGTTTGTGCTTCCTTTAGAATATGGGGATGTACTTCTCATTTCAGAGAGATTTTGCTGATCTGCTTCTTGCTCATTTCAGAATGTGTTCAACATGATTGTGGAAGTACCTCGATGGACAAATGCAAAGATGGAGGTAAGTGGAAGATAAAATCCATAACTGGAGGTCTGGCTGCTTCTAGTTCTTAAATCTCTGGCACTGCTGAATTCTGTGTGGCTTTTTTGAAAGAAAAAAAGTAGTCTAATGTAGTACAACACATTGTTCTAGAACAAGCAGAAGAAAGCCAAGTTAACAGATCTAAATGTAAAACTTTGGTAACTAGCTTTATTATGTATTAATACTGAAGTAAGCAAAATATCATAAAACTTAAAGCTCTGACCAGTGTTGATGTCTCAGTTTAGGTAGAACAGTTGCAAAGCACACTTGGCTGTATAAAAAGAAATTGCAGAGTATGACCAGTTTTCATAAAACTTAAATCAAAGTTCTACTGTCATTAACTGCTAAATGAACTAGTAACATTGTAATAGTTGGCCAGGATCACTCCTGTGTGAGGTGCAGCCTTCAGTCCAAGACCCAGGTGTTGGTGGAGCTTTAAGACTCTTGCTTGACGCCCCAGATGCCTAGCGGAAGAGACTTTCTCCAGGAAAGGGATTAGTTTGGTCCATACTTCTTGGGTACTGGAATGGCTGCAGGCTATATAACCATAATTTGAGAAGTATGGGTTTGGGTATTAGGAGGAATCGTATATTTTGGAGGGCTTCCACATTCCAGCTTATCTGAATACCTCCCTTGGAAGTAGCCTTCCCTTTATCTCTGGCCCCTGACTAGTTGGATCACTGAGGGAGAGCCTGTATCCTAATAGCTACAATCTGTAATGTTTCAAAGTAACAGCCGTGTTAGTCTGTATCCGCAAAAAGAAGAACAGGAGTACTTGTGGCACCTTAGAGACTAACAAATTTATTAGAGCATAAGCTTTCGTGGACTCCAGCGCATCATCAGAGATCTACAACCTATCCTGAAAGATGATCCTTTACTCTCACAGATCTTGGGAG